GTTTTGGTGACAGGATGAGAGATGAAAGATGCATTTCATAATACAATCTATTTGTTGTTTTTATTACTCCTCTTACATGATAATTATCATATTATCAGCAATTATCATATTTCTAATCAATATTGAAATGTAAAATGGTTTTACTATCTTGAAAAAGAGCCATTACTACTTTAAGTGATATGTTCTTCCTTATACAAGATAGCAGACCCCTTAATATTCTAATCTTAGCCTAAATAAGACATATACATTGCCATTTAACTTATCCATGCATGCATTACAAATATATGGTATTCTGATGCAAGACATAAGTCCATAAAGTTTATGTCTTCATTCATTTTGAATTTTTTTCATTTTCAAAACAGTACCGGTTACCTTTTACTAATTTGTTTATTATTATTTTTATTGTCTTAACTATTTTTCCAGAATGTTTCTAGCTCATTCTTATACTTAGCTGCATTCTCTACTTACTAGCACATTTTTTTAGCAATTTATATTTTTTTCTGGAAGTAAAAGGCCAAATGGGAGTTTAAACACACAATATTTCTCTTTCATTTCAAACGTGTCAATATTTTCTTTTACTCTACTGTGCTCCCAACATCATAAGCACAAAATGAAAATGCTAAATCGAGGGAAAACAAAACAAATCAATATATTAAGAAGCAAATGAAAGATGTCTATGCATGCAATTTTCAATTTGTGTTCAAGCACTCAAATATCCAAACTCTGATCAGTTTGTTTGTTCAGAGTTTCAAATCATGCTAGAAAAAACTTGACAAAATACTACTTTTTACATCTAATGCACATAAATCCACCTCACATTTGTCTGGTAGTACGTCCTTTATTTGAAAAAGATTTTTAAAGAACATTTTTTTAAATTTCAAACTATTTAGATCCATAAAGCACAAAACAGAAGAAACTTTAACTCTAGAGCGCACTCTAGTCTTTCATATTATTAATTTTGATTCTTGGACTAATGATTTTTTGACTTAGAAAAAATTTCTTACTAGGATTATAAGAATAACGGTATAAGACATAAGGTACAAAGCACATAATGACAATAATTTCCACTTAAGAATCATACAGCATGTGTTAAAGAAACACGTGCAAATGCTACAGACTTTTGAGGGTAAGAAAAAAGAAAACGGAAAGAAAATAAGAGCTGGAGCAAGAATGTCATACAATAAGACAACAATAAAAGTCCATTTTTATTAAGAACTGAGTCATTTGAGACATGTGAGACAGGCATCAAGGCAGACGACATAGAAGCACAGATATCTAGGTCAAACAAGAAGGGCCCAATCCATGCCACGTAAACCAAAGATCTACATACTTTGAAACTAATAAGCAAAGACCTGGACAGTTGTGGCACCTGAAATATAGGTGTCAGAGTCATCTAAGACAGACTTATCAATGAACTCAAGAATAAACTGAAGACAAAATGAGAGAAAACGAAGAGAAAAGTGCACAATAAAGAGTTTAGACAAAGAGAAATACTGTGTGGTTTTCAAATTGCTTGCATCATGGCAAAAGTATCCACTATGATAACGACAGTTTAAATAATCAATTTCTTTAAAATTAGTTTCTGAGGGGGATTTGAACAGATATAAGCTCAATTTAGAACATAAAGAATGATTATTTCATTATCAAAATTATTCTTTTGATACCCCTTTGTGTGTAAAAAATTAAACATTTCATTAAGTACACAAATACAGGAACCAGCATATTAGTATTGAGGCCATCAGTTTAAAGATAAATAAATAAATAAATAAATAAATAAATAAATACATAAATAAATAAATATAATAAAAGCTTAATATGTAAAGTTAAGGGACACATTTCACAATCATTCATACACTAAGTTCACCTTGAAAGCTCCTCTGAGATTGATGGCATCAAACCAGCTTTCCACTTCATCTAAGATGACAGACAAAACATCTCTGCTCAGTTTTCTGGACGCCTGAATTCACCAATACAAAACAGATGGATTAGGTTAAAGCAATAAATGATATCTTTCATGAAATAAAACTGTCAGCACCTTCTGGTGTGAAGTTAACACACAGCTTTAAACAAATAAGCTAATTTCCACCAAACAATAGGGGAGATGTAATAACAATTTGGGAGTAAAATCATTATTGAAGTGATCAACATAGAAGGTGAATCTAAATGTCATGTAGAACTTGTTTAATATGTAATTTCTACTTCAAGAATAATACTTCTGTTGCATCACCCTATATAGAATAAAAAATTACATTTTCACAAAAAAACTGGTTCGTTTTATTTTGTTTTTTAACAAGATCCATTAAAATTTCAAAACCATTTTCATTAAATGGTAATCAAAGTCTGCTTAGAGAATAGAAACAATATTATTATATATATAAGACTGTTATCTGATGACACAAGTTGGCCCCTCATCCGGTCTAAATGGGTCTCTGTGTGAACTGACCTCATTCTTCAGGTGGCCCACCATGGACCACATGGGAGAAGCGCAGATTTCCAGCTCCGCAGAGAATGCAGCGTAATACGTGCCTGGCTCGTACTCCACGTGCTGCGTCAGCTCGCGCTGGTTGAGATTCATTCCTGTAAAAACACAAATAGATCAATAAATAATTACCATCAGGTTTCAATCAATGATTATTATAATCATCACTTACTATAATGAGTTTTAAACTGATCTTTTGTTATTTTAGGGATAAAATGAACTCTTGGAGAAAATATCTGCGATTCTCCAAGACAAGAGTTCTGGAGAGTGAGACATCTGATTTTTCCAAAAGTCTAAAAACTGCTGTGCCCACTGTAGTTATTCAACTTAATCTTTTTACAAACATTGTTTACAGAGACTACAAATATTTTACTTATGTTAAATAAAATGTATTTACTGTCATCCATTTCAGAACAAAACTGGGTGCAATACTTGAAAAGCCAACACCTAATAAGAAGTAACCAGCAGGTGTGTGTACAGAAGTCCCTGAAAACTTTCCCCCTCACCTTGAAAGTGAGATATCAGCTCCATCCACAGCTCTATCAGTGACTTGTTGTCCATAAAGATGTGTGCAATCGACTGGTGGGACAACACGTTGATGAGGTCACTGATAATTGGCCAATAGCAGTGGTCCTTCATGATCTCCTGGCCGCAGTCCGCCACAACATGGAAGTTGTTCTCCGCATCTGAGGAAATCAACAAGTAAATAAATATATAAATATATAAGTGAATATGTTGTTTAATTATCAGTATCTTCATCTTTTTTGCTAAACCAAGCAGTATGTGTGCTTAAAGTCATCCTGATAAAATATTGCAACTACTGTATGTATCAAAGGATCGAGCAAGCTTTGGGATTTCTTTTTCAAAAATAAAATTTTGTTTAATGAATAAATATTACTCTCATATGAGCAAAGATGATGATGGTGACGATGATGTGTGTTTTGTGTCTGCATGCTTTTGAAAGCGTGGGTGTATGAATAAGTAAAGATGATAAAGATACATGTTAATGTGTATGTGATTATGTGCGTATATGCACAGACATTAGGTCTGTGCATGCGTGTACATGTGTCTGTCTGTGCACACATCCTTCTGTACGTGTGTGTGTGTGTGTGCGCGCACGCACTTCCATGTATCTGCACACTTCTCACCCTGCATGTCACTCCCCGTGAGCACGTTCCCTATCATATGTTTCAAACTGACCACCATGATGTGTAGCAGGTTATGTTCTAGCACCATATCTCTGGAGTACTTCTCATTACTAAATAACTGGACACTGATGTGGACCACTTTGTTAGCTATAGTGGACCTGTCCACTGAATTAACCAGAGCTATGGAGCTACGGCTGTAGTGCTGGACAAACGCCTTGATGAAACACACCTATAAATAAAAGATATAAGTTATATTAGTATCAATTACATTTTAACAGACTATATTAGTGTCAATTACATTTATCAGACTGAGTGTTTATTTTATCTGATTCATGAATGCAAATCCTATATATATTCTTCCTCAAATGACAGGACAAATAGCTTATTATAATGAAATACTCAAGGTTTAATCTTTTTGTGAACATAAGTCTACTCTAGTAAATGAACTTACATCAAGATGGAATACTTGAGTGTTGTATTAATTCAACATTTAATTTCTATTTCTTTTTTTTTTATTTCTTTTTCTTTAACCCCACCCCTCGCAGTTACCTTGAAATATTCATCTGGAAGTAAACTAAGCAGCAAAAAGACAATTTTCTGAGGGAATTCAAACTTCACGGTCCAAAACATAAGCTCCTCAAGGAGGGTGGTGTGCTTTAGTTCTTGTTTTAATCCTGGGATATCTGAAAGGACAACAATATACTTTATCAATATTTAAATAGAGCTATAATAAACAAACACAAATAGGACATTCAGATCTGACCTATCTTTAACTGAAAATAAGACTAAATGGTATCACCAGATCATCTGTTGACAAGGACTGCTCTTGGTTGCGTCACTTTGTTTTTTTGAATTTTAGTTTGAATTTTAATTTTTTATTAATTTTATTAATATAAGAACAAGAATCAATCCCCTCTTACTAGTAAAGTTCTCTGGTATACTGGGGCACCTCAGTGTCTGGAGAGCTGACAGGTAGTTGTCTTGACTGTGTAGTAGACTAAGTCTGGAGCGACTGTTTTCACCATCAGCTAGAAGAATAAAATATAAGAATATATACTCTGGTCAAAATAGGAGAAAAAATATACTTGGATATTGGATTCGTTGACATAAATAACCCACAAAGTGTCAGAGTATCAACAAATGCAAGCTTGAATGGGCATGAATAAATTGTTTTTTATTTCTATCCCAGACTTCTACAACCTTCCCAAGTCATCCCATCCATGATCTCTACTTACTCTCTGTAAAGTTTCTGTAGACCTGAGGGTTGGTGAGAGCCCCTGTCAGGACTTGTTTCATGGCGGCACCCATCTCACTGAGAGAGTGGAGAAAGCCGAGGAACATGTCCGCATCCTGCATCGCCAGAAGGTAGGTGTCTAGCATCTCTGAAAGACAAAATAAGGGGAAAATAAAAAGAAATAAATAATTAAATATTTGATTAATTAAAAAAATTAAATGACAGGTAAGTGTTTTATGCATAGGCCCTCAGTCCTCAGGTTATTAATAATAAGGTTATTAAGGTTATTAATAATATATATTATAATACACTTTCATGTATACATATAACTAGTATATATATACTGACTCTAGGACTACGTAATATTATACCTGGTTGTGAGTTGTTCCTGAGATGATGCACAAGTCTTACTAACAATTTAGGCATCATGGCTTCAGCAACGGCCAGCAGCTCCTGTGGCGCCCCCACACTGGAGTCTGTTCTCCCCGGACCGTGGCGGTTACAGAACCTATAAAATACAGAGACATACAGTGATTTAAATCACTTCACAGCTGTCAACATAGTTCACTCTAAGATAAACATGTATTATGTCCAATAGCTGGGAAATTGCAAGATAATCAAAATATTATGACATAAATTAATAATGAATTAATATCAATAACAGATGCACTTTTTTCTAAGAAAAATGACAATATTTGTCAAAAACAAATCGATAGATAACTATAAAAACAATCATCTCAAGACTGTTAAGTTCTCATTATAATTATTATTATTATCATTATTATTATTATAAACCCATTAATAAATCATTTCTCGTGTATCCCGGAAATGTTATTAAAATCTGTCCATAACTTTCTGAGCTTTGTTATTTAATACTAACGAGCCAACAAAGGCAAAACATAACCTTCTTATCAGATGTAATAAATGTAAATAAAAGGTTTACTGAGCACTAAATATGTATAGTGCGGTGACATTGACAGGGTTTCTAATCTATTAACTATACATATGCAAGGATTAAATACATGCCATATTTATACATCACATGATAACTTCACATACAATATACAGATAAAGATTATATTTCCAATTCAGAATGAATAAATAAAATTAACCATCATGACCAGCTAGTGACTGATGTTATCTACTACAGCATATCTACCCACATAAAGCTGACCAGTGATAACATCCCTACACACTATGAGTGCATTCCCAGAGATTTAGATCCATCCACTGGATCGACCTAACTCCCTGGAGGTTCACGCTAAATTGCAGTTAGCCGACCGCGCATGACAGTTAATTACCCCCTTACAGCTTTTAGTAGGCGGGACAGACGCTTAAGCCGGCTAAGCCGACAGTAATCTAGTGAGACTCCCCACAGGGATAGATCGATCTAAAATCTATGAGAATGGGGTCTATAACACAGTGGATTGAGAACAATTGAGCATCAGTTTGCTTAACCATGCAGTCCTAGCTAGGAAACAAACAATTTACTACACTCACACCATTCCTCCCAAAATAGATTTTCAATTTTGCTTTCAATATTTCTTGATCTAGATTTGCATATTAATCTATAGTCAGTGGATGAGAGAAAGAATTGGGCTTTTCTAAGTTATGAGTCTGTTTGTAGTAGTATAAATTTTAGCAGTTGTTTTAGATTAAGACTGTGGTTCATTTGTCTAAATAAGTAGACTGAAAAGTTGTAGGCATACACTGCACACACACACACATACACACACACACACATGCACTTACCCGTCAGCTTGCATAACACTGATGTCCCCGCAGTCGCAAGCTCCTCCTGCCTGGCTACGAAACATGTTGAAATCATGCCCCGTGTGGTTCCCGGCCTGGAAGCAGTCGGCACACAGTGACATGCACGGGCTGATGCCGCATGTTCTACAGCGATATGCAACGAAATTTGACGTCCACACTAAACCACATGTTGTCGCATTGTCGTACTGTCTCACTGAAAATATAACATCAGGATTATTTCAATTTCTACTTAAAACCAGCACAGATAATCAATATTTCAAACTAATAACATATTCACTTTTAATAGTCCAATTATAGATACTACCAGAGTTTTGGGTGCATGTGATGAAACTAAAGTTCAGTTTTATACTAATACTGTATCCTACTTGTACTTGTAATATTGTATAAATTTATGTTGCTATGGCACAGCAGTAACCTGCAGAACATGGTGAAGTTATTAAACATGCAGTGTTCAATCAATAAGATAAGATAATTAGGAACAACATAGCAGATCTGGCTCCCTCTACAAATAACAAACTAGACAGAACATTCTTACTCTAACTCTCTTGTAACAAACGACGTTGTTTATAAATGCAAGCAGAAAAAGTGATATTATCATAATTATGACATATTATCTATAATCACATATCTATGACCCTATCCTAACAAAGTTGAAGTGAATTTGACGAGTCTTATTATAAATCCTGAACAACAACAGAGTCACAGCTGTCAGTAAAAATACAGTATCAGAGAAGACAGCATATGTATATCAGTGACATATTGCTCCACCTGTTTTGGCGAAATCGTCAAAAGTTGTCCCCCCTGCCATCAGCCACCGACACCAATCTAGCGTCTCAAAATCATCCAAAGTCTTTGATGGATCAAGCAGATGCTCTAAGAGTTCGTTTAATTGCTGCTGTCCGCTCGGTCGCAGACATTCCGCCTTCATGTATTCGGCGACAGCCCGCTTCCCCCTCCTCATCAAAACATGGGTTGCCATATTTGTTGTTTCTTACTCGGCCATCCTCGGCTGTTTCCGGTTCAGTGACGAATTCTTTCCCGAGTGCGAAATTACGATGGATAAAGTTAGTTTACGTACCTAAATAACATGATTTACCTCATAATTCTTTAATATATGCGTTCTCTGTGACATTGCTTGGTGGTGTTGGTGCGAAAATATTCAACATTTAAAAAAAGAAATCGCGTTTTTAATGAAGGCCCCATCTCGCGGGAAATGTGAAATTGAGGTTTGTTGGCGCGAGACGCATTTGCTGCTTACACAACAATGGAATATTTCACAAATTGAGTGAAATTGCGGTTTGGATTACTCTATAACAAGTTGGAATATTTTGTAAGTATCTGATTTTGGAATTTGGATCCCTGTATTGGGTCAGTATATTGTCATAAAGAGAAAAACATCAGTTTAGACCCCCTCTTCCCACCAATCTGAGGTACCGGTGTGTTGCTCCCCGGTGTCACGTGAAGAAACCGTCGTCGTGAATAAACCGTTCTGACGGATTATTCACGAGGGGGTAGCAGTCCGTGAATAAACCGTCGTCGTGAATAAACCGTCGTGCCGCGCTGGTCATGCTGCTTACCTGGCCATTGTTCTCCGGTTTTATTACGCAATTTAGAGGCACTGTACAGTACCGATCCCCACATATACATATCACATCTTACCTGGTTATTGTTCTCAAGATACACCAATTAGGCCCTACTACCGCTGTTGTAAGAACCTAGAGGAGATCGTTCAAATTTTGTCCTTTGTATTGTGGGTCAAGTTTATCTGTTAGTGTTAGGTATAATTTTGTTTAGCTACTATTTATGCATTTTTTTACTTTATGTTAATAATATTTTGGTCTGTCTTGCCGAAGTAGTTTATTGCGGTAACCGTAGACAGCAACCAGATCCTAAAACAATTAAGACGAGAGAACTTTTAACCAACATACCTGGGTAGCCTTGTGAGTACACAGATTGTTGATATTTAAGAAATCCCTTAAAGAATTTTCAGTTGACTTCCATGCCAACTTCAGGAATATATTTGAAAAATAGAGATTTAAAGTTAAGAAGTAGGCCCTATTTATTGATACAAACAAAANGGGGGGGGGGAGGGTACAATAACACCGTGGTCTATAATTAAAAACCATATGTTGACTTTAGCATCCATGCTTGCTATTTTGCTCACAAGCAAGTTCAAAGTATATGTACTGTTTATTTTATGATACAATATCATATATAATTTTTTCAATCCTGTCATTGTTTTCTGCTGAAGGTTGTTGCACCATGTCTAGCAGTCAGAGCAGTAGCAGTCCTGGACGACTGAACAAGATGCAGCAGACACTGGCACTGATGCAGAAAAGCTTAGAGTGCTCAATATGGTATGTTAGTAACATGCTTTAGTTACTAGTAGCAGCTGAATGAAAAGCATAGAGATTTCTCCTATTGTACATGCTTTTAAGCATTTAAAATTGCACTCAAATAAGATAAGATTTGAAAACTTTTTGCCTACTGTGATGAATTGTCTAATTGGATCCTCTAAATACTACAGCCAGGGGTTGTAGACATAAGTAAGTGGATATAGAAACTATGATTTTTTTATGTATGAAAAGTGAATCATCATTAGCATTTGGCAAATTTAATGCTAACACCACCCATAACATGTTCTTAGTAGTAGTGAATGATGAACAGATAAATCTGTTAATTAATGTATTAATGAAATATAATGAGTCTATTCCTTTCTTCTTCAGTCTGGAGCTAATGAAGAACCCAGTGTCAACCAAATGTGATCACCAGTTCTGCAGGTAAACTGAATATTCATTTTGATTTTGAAGGAACATTATTGTGTTTTGTCTGAAATCTTTCTACTTTCTTTTCTGTATTATAATAGTCTTTGTGAAAATAAATTCTAAAGGAGGTAGGACATGAAAGGGAACAATCAGATTTACATAATCCTGCTCTAGATTCTCTAGATCTGCAAAAAAATGCTTCTTGTCTATGATATTTTTCTCAAAATTAGTAATAGATTTTGAGGGAAAATAGTAACATGTATGTTTTAGATTAATCTTTGTGAACTGGAAGTAGGGGTAAACCATTTTTTTTTAATGGGGAGTTCAAAATCATTTTCTCATGGAGACACACAGATAGATCAATTATAAAATTGTGGTTGACCGGGATCTCTGAAAAGTTGACATACAATTTTATAACCTGGGATCATAATCAAGCTGTTTATATCATAAAATGTAACACAAAGGCATTGTTTAAAATTTGATGTCATCATGTGTGTTTTCCAGGTTTTGTGTCACAGAATACTTAAGAAACAAACCCTCGGCTCCATGTCCACTCTGCAAGAAAAACATCACAAAAAGGTAATTTAGTAGTATAATAACACTTATATCATGAATAGAATAGAAATGGAGACAATTTATCTCATTATTTTGGTATTACTTTTTTGTTTTGAGCTGCAAAAGATAATGAAGGAATTTATTTAGTTTGACTTATATCTGTTATGTACTTTTTTAGCTAGAAAAGTTAAAGGGATAATAACTCTTCATTTCGGCTAAAAAAAGAATTTTCCTGGAGTAAACAACAATTTCCCCATACTTACCAATGGTTAATAAATCCATTTTTACATAGAAAGTTAGTCCCTGGTTTTTTTCTAAAAAGTTTGGTTTTTTGTTAAAATCTCTTAAGAGATTTTAACAGAGTATAGCCATCAATGGAGGTCACGTTGTTTAAAGACAAGCTCAAATATCAGAATTTCGAGCTATAACTGCAGTTTTTGTGGTAAAACAGAAAATATTATATTTCTATGAGTTATTCACAATGTTTTTATTGTGAAATATAGATCTTAAGAAGAGTTATTATCCCTTTAAGTTATTCAGAGTGAACATTAAAAGAAATTTTCTATCTGTCTTAACTCAAACCCCGCTATTTTTAGGAGCCTCAGTGCCAGAAATAAACTGTCCCAGATTGTGGACGCAATCAGAAAACTTGTGGAAGCTTTTCAAGAAGATTCAGGAATCCTCTGTAAGTTGCTTTATATTATATAACATCATCCAAAGTCATCTGCATTAAAATCCCTGGTTACATATTTATTATAGGAGGGTGGTGAAGAGGTATTAATGTAACTGTGGAAGACTAAAGTAAGCAGTACAAATGGCTTTCTTTCCTCTCGTAATAAGTTGTGAAAATGTGAAACACATTTATTTGTGACTTATAAACTACGTAACAAATCAGACACTGCACCATCTATGAACCACCATCAAAAAGTAGTGCATGAGTCCTGTTATTTAGTATCTAATTTAAAGCAATAATAACTCTTCCGTTGAGATTCAAAATTCCGCATGAAATACATTGTAAACAACGCATGGAAATATATTCTATTGTATTTTACCACTAAAACGGCCGTTATTGTAGTAAAACTAAAATCTGTGCTTGTCAATGGGGCTTACGATGCTTTTCTTCCCAGTCATCAAGGCATTCGTTGCTGATGACGTAATGGTGTCACGCGGATTCTCGCGTTCATTCGAGACCAAAATAACATGGCGGGAAACCCTCAGACGTAAGTTGCCAGTTTTTGTACAGTGCGTCGGATAACGAAAAGCCCAGAATGGCACACATTGTGGATATAAATGCATTTTTAACAAAAAGAGGAATATATCTCATGAATCTTATATAGTGTTGTTGTTGTCTGCTTTTCCCGCGGTTTTAAGTAGGTCACCAGTGACTTTGCAATGTCAGAGAGAGCTCCGTCATTTAAAATCTCTTAAGAGATTTTAACAAAAAACCGTACGTTTAGGAAAAAAACCCTGGATTAACTTTGAATGCAGGAATGGGGTCGTTGACCATTGGTAAGTACGGGAAAATTGCCGTTTTTTCCAGGAAAATCCAATTTTTGGCCAAAACGAAGAGTTATTATGACTTTAAGAATCTATTTTGGTTTATCGAGGAAAGAGTTATGTATCAACAATGTAACTGTAATTATTGTCTACACAATTTAAAAGTGCTGCTTGTACCTTTATATATAATTGAATCTCACCTGTAGATGGGTGGGGAGGGAGGGATTCCATGAAAATGGGTAAAATTTTATCATGGTACACATGGTTTTAGTGTTAAAAGGTCCATTAAATAAAAAAAAAAAAAGAATGCACACTTTGAAATTGCTGGATACAGGCCTGTTAATGGACAATATTAGAGAGCTTTCGCACCTGCACGTTTAGGCGACCGACTACATTTAGCTATCCGTAACCGTAAAATGACCAACGTTTATTTTTTCGTGATTTCGCAGAAAGACCCGGTTAGCCTTTACGGATAGTCGAATTGCACAGTAGCTGAAACATGTTTCACGTGCTGTAAGCAGAGACGTTCAATTACCGTAGGTCATACGCCATTGGACAGGTTAGGTAATTTTGGAATGGTCTTCCATATGCAATTTATGGAGATCAGGTGTAACGAAACTCAGGGTTCGTGTAGCAGAAAGTCCGCCTCCCATATAGTTATTAACGGTTAGGGCTGGCCTGACCTTAGTGGTCAAAATCTAGGCCGAGGCTCACCTGTACAAGTGAATGGGAAGCGGACTCTCTGTTACGTTACACTGGTCTTCTGGTCAACTGCCATACCTGTGTGTATGGCAATCAGACGAGTCGGTACTTTTATCTAGATCCTCCCACCTTGGAGGACTATTTAGCATGAACTGTACACGTATACATTGTGCGTATGGAAAATTAAACAGTAGAATGTAAAATTTATACCGCAAGCAAACATTTATTTAATTGAAATCTTGAATAAAAAACAATGTTTTAACAAAGATTCAGCCCATGTGTATCTTGTAGGCAGCAAGAGCATAGTATGTCAATTCAGTTTCTCATCTCCATCATTTGTTTGTCTTTCTCAATTTGAGCTTCTGGCTCTTTCTTTTCTAATTCAAAGCCTTCTTTCTAGAAGGCTTGTCTTTCAGGTAACTGACGTAATCTGCTGATGAATCAGTACGGCTCTTCTTAAGAGGCGGCATGTTGTCCCAATTTTCAGTTGAAAAAATAAGCGTATCACCAATTAATGCAGCGTCAGTTTTTGCTACTGATATAATAAATATTAATCAACATTTGCTATTAGAGACACTTACATGTATAGAAAGATGCGCTGTCCTTACTTTTATTTATTATTCATTCATTCAAATACACAAAACAGGACGACATGTGACTTTCGAAATAAGGCTTCATAAAATTTGCATTAAAGGTCAAAGAGACATGTCCTGTCAACTACAGGAAAAAATCGAGCTACTAGTAGTATCTTACTAAACGGCACTTACCTTACGGATATCCTGCGTCTTATGCGTCAACTGCAGACGGCTAGTCTACAGACCACTTATAAAGACATGTGTACTCGTAACAACTGCTCACAAATTGATGACCTAACAGTCTTATCATACAATCAGTCACGCGTGCGGAAGGCCAGTTCTGACTGCCTTGTGGTCAGTGGAAAATGCCCTTTTTACGGGTAAAATCTATATTTCAATAGTATCAAAATGACAGAGACAAAATGACAGAGACAAAATGTTTCACGTATATTGCAAAAATGAAATATCCAATATGATTTTAGAAGAGAAACGATCAATTTTAAAAGGCTTGATTTCATAAAACTATGCTGATTTGTCAAACCGTTTTTCATTGACGGATAGCAATCTAGCCGCAGATAAGGTTCTCTCTAACCGTATATGTACACGTCACTAGACAGCAACATATGATGACCTAAACGTAGTCGTCTGCCTAAACGTACAGATGCGAAAGCTCTCTAATATTAAGTATGACCTCTTTCTTCAGTTTCTCCACCCCGTGGACCTGGTAGTGACGTGTTTAGCTGCACCCCGCAGATGAAGGGAAGTCCCAGGATCACATCACCGGGGGGCAGAAAACGCAGCAGTCCGCAGAAGGTATAGTGTACTGTATCTCTGGATAAAACATGGCAGAAATAGGAAAGATATTTGACCATGTACTGCTTTTACAATAGGAATCTAAGTGTTGAATAAAAGTACATTTTTCCAAAAGTTTTTTGTCCCAATTATATCGAGAATCTGAAGTGAAACGATGACTTTTCCAGCAAGGAATTCTAACAGGCAGATCAGTATCACAAGGCATTTAATCTTATTCCTGGGGAAGGTTTACTGGAGTTGAAATAAAAATATCAGTTTCAGTATCTGTCTTACAAAGTTCAAGATAAAATTTATTATCAAATTACTGCCGATTATAATTAATTTGATTTTTGATTATTTTCTCTAGGAATATTTGGCTGAAGAAGATGTTGTGAATGAGAAAAATAGAAAGAACTTGCGCTATGGTAAACGGAAGAAGGCCGAGGGCCAGGACCTTGTGTATATTGAAGGTCAGTTCTTATGACTCAGAACTGGGAAGCTGACCACGTGTCAGGCTGAAGACAGGTCACTTGTATCAGGGTTAGAACTGACCACTTCTGGTTATTATGCAGGTTGACGACTTGTATTAGATTGTGTTCAGATTAACCATTTTTCCCTTGATCTATTCCAGTGAATATCTTCACGGGGGTAGACTTGGACAGGACCATTTCTCACTTCTAGTATTTATGGTTACCTTTCAGTGTTGAGCTACAACAAAGGGAAAATATTCAGTTCTCCCAGATAGGCATCAGAATGATATGAGGATGATTATTACCAAAGAAATGTAGAAATGTTAAAATTCATCATATTTTACATCTTACTTACCCACCTTACTAAACTGTCAAACTGCTACAGAAATGCCATAGTTTATTATGACTTTCAGAAAAGTTTTTGCTTAGTTATTATCAGGCCTACCCAACTACCAGACTCGGCACCGAATGATCGCATTACACAGTATCAGACGCGACACTGCTCTTGCCTAGTACGCGATGTGATAGTGACGATTCTCAGCGGGGTTGAAAAGTATTGCATCACCACTCAAAATTTGTTTGGGGTATGATACTGTGAAATGCGTACTGACTCACACCTTGAAAACGGGTAGTGTGGTCTGATCTACCGGTGAATTCGGGATCATTCGGTGCGGAGTCTGGTAGTTGGGTAGGCCTGATTATGCCATATTTGATTTGATTTCAGATGGTGTTAATGAAGAGAGTGGCCAGCACACAGTGGTAGCAAACACCAACATTCAGTAAGTTTATTAATATACAGATGCCCAGATTCTAACCTATATATACACTAAATTTTTGAAAGATGGAGACTTATCTTGTTAAGTGCTTTCCATGATTTTTGTGCTCAGAATTATTCTGGGTCTTAATATATCCAAGTAAAAACAACTCTTATTGTTAATGAGCAAAAATGTTCATTAGCTTGGTTGTAGGATATACATGAGAATTCTCAAACACAAGCCAAAAAAATTTCCATACCGTTAGGTTACGGCCAACCTGGTCGAAGGCCTTTATCAGACTGATGTGAGTAGTTGTTGTTATTATTGTTATAAGTAGTTAGGTTGGCCGTAAGCTAATGGTACGGAAGTTTTTTGGCTTGTTTGAAAATTTTCATGTATAAACTCTTATTGTTATCATATTGGATTCAATTTTTATTTAAGCTCATAATTTCAGATAAAGTATTTTTCTGCACACATTTTTCCTAAAATTTTAACTGAATTAGTTGTTTATTTGATGGGAAACAATGTTTTTTGTTTTTATTTTTGTGAAATAAAAGGACAACTTTCATGCATTTGAGACACTAAATCAAGCATTTTAATATTTAGAAAAACTGGAAAATGAATGATGACAAAAATCCCAAATAAAAAAAATTCTAGAATTCTGTTTCAGCTTGTGCAGAACCCACCTCTCTGCCCAAATTTTCACTTATGTCCAGTTTAAGCTGATACATTTGAATGCCTGAATCATCTCCTGCTTTTTCAGTTCATCTTTTCCCAGAGCTAAACAAACCAAAGGAAAAAGATCCAGAAACATCAGCGGTGCCAGCAACAACAGTAACAGCAGCAGTAACAACAGACAGCGTAGCACAGCGACCAGAAGGGGAAGGAGAAGCAGAACAAACAACAGAAATCAGGAGAATGTGGTGCCATCTATTGACCAGGTTGCACAGTACCTTGTAGATGGACCACTGGGCGGAGTCACCAGTCAAGACAAGCCCATTGCAAATCCTCTTGTGAACAGGCGATCAACCAGATCTAGGCAGTTCAGACAAGATCCAGAGGCTTTACGAAGTTATCTTGAAAATACCTCATTTTCAGAAGAATTTCTAGACAGTCCACCAGTTATAGAAAATCATGTTTCAACTCTTTCACCTCAACAGGAGAGTGAGAAGTCAAAGAGAGATGGAGGTAGAGATCTAGATTTTGTTTGTGACACTGTTGATGGAGAGATGGACAGCACCTCGTCTAAAAATGAAGAGCTGGAAATGGTTGACAAAGACAGTCATACTTTACATGCAGAGCCCATCACTAAAAATGTAGACATCAAGGAAAGGAATTCTTCCAGAAAGGGAAAAGCAGATGAAATTGTAATGATGAAGCATCCTCACAAAGAAATGTTTTCTGAATCCACAGAGGAGAGACTGGTAGAGGATGCCTGCCATAGAGTTACGGGAGCAGGTATCCTGGAGAGAAGGCAGTCCATTGAGAGAGTCCAGGACTGGTTGACCAATCATGTGCAAGATGATGTGTCACAAGATAGTGGCAATTATGGGATAGGTGCTTTGGGAAGTACTGAAGATGGCACTGAATCCATGACAGCCCAGGGTCAGGTTGAATCAGAATGCAATGATGGACATGAATTAACCAAGAATCAGTTGAATTCACTGAACCAAACTTCCAATGATGTTGACAACCAAAATGAATTTACAGGACAAGGAGCTACCTCTACGCTTTCCTTGGCAAAGAAAATATTCAGGACTAGATTTATCACAAGAGATGAGAAAAAGGACACATTCCAGAAAATGTCTGCTGCTCAGGAGGTGACTTTCACACAGGAAGACCCGTACGAGTTTGTAGTCAGTCAACACACTCCTAGGAAGCCTAAAGGAAGACGAGGGAGAGGACGAGGTGGGGGAAGGAGAGAGTCACAGAGACAGGAAAAGGCAAAGAAGCAACAAGAATTTAACAGGGAAAAAGCTGAGACATTAAAGGAGGCAGATACCACTTTATTTGCTGTTCCAGATGAGAAGGAACAAGATAAGGGCACCGAAAGAAGGAGGAGACCTAGAAGCAAGAATAGACCGGAAAAAGTTCCTGAGGATAGCCAGTCCACCCAATCAGACGTACAGAAAATGATTGATAAAATAAGTGAAGCAGAATCCCATGAACTCATGCTTAGTCAGGCTTTTAGAGAACAGCAAGCAGATGTGGAAGAGGCCTGTGTTGCTGGTGCTGCAGAAACAGAGACACAGAGTGAAAATGTGGTGCCACCTTCAGTTGATATATGTAACGAAAGAAGAACTATTTTGTTCCCCTCTAATGGCCAGGAACCTCTCTGCTCAAAAGATAATAATGACAGTGAACAAGAATTGAAAGAAAGTGTACAAGCCAGCGAGAGAAAGTCCAACAAGCTGGGCCTAATACAAAAAGCAACGAGTAGTAACAGGAATGGTTCAGCAGTGAAAAAAATTGCACCAGCTGATTGGTCAAGCACTAAAGAAATGGCCAAAGACTTGCAGAAAAAGAAAACTCCAACAAAACTGAAGCTTGCCACTCATGGGAATAAGTCGTCGCTGTCTAAAAAGAGTTTTTCTTTTCCGTGCGTGGAAAACTCTGGTCAAGAAATGGAGAAGGAAGTACAAATCATGGATCCCACGACTCCCTGTATTCCAGTAACTGATGAAGGTTTGTTGAAGATGGACTGTTGTTGTCTGAGTATAATTTCTTTGTAAGAAGAGTAATTAGTATAAGAAAATTTCCTTTTATCTATTAGAAATTGTCCAGAAATTCTTAAGATATTAAAGTTTTCATAAGCAAAAGTACCGATATATTGGGTAGTTTATATAAACATTTTCCCAGCAAACACAGAACAGCACTATATTAATGTTACTATTATAATTTTTTAACCAAAAACATTATGATAACGTAAAATGTTCTGTTTGGTGAGTGGTGTGTAAAGCTTAGACTTGGTTCCTTTCCCTCTCAGCAAAATATTTTTTGCAGTTCAGGACAGGTGATTAGATGCAGAGAACTTCCAATCATTTATTAGATGTAGTATGAATTTTTTTGTAAATATTTTCACCAAATGTGAAATACTCAATGCAATACAAAATGTGCTCTATTTTTCCTTCATTAATTTTTAATTTCAGATACCGTTTCACCTTCACTTCAGTCCTCTGTAGTTAAAGATATGAATGAAGATGACAGAGAACAGGGCTCAGACACAGAATCTGTAGATTTGGCACTATCCCAAGTAGAATTTCAAAAATCCAACCTAGGTAAGAACATCCATGTTCCTATCTTTTATGTTTTAGGATATTAATTAAAAGCCTCTACCTGCATAACTCTTTTGTAAGTTTTGTTTCTCAAACTTTTGAGAAAACTATTTTGTTAATTTATACCATCAAGAAAAAATCCTATTGCTAGTTTTATGGATAAAAATTCCTATTATTAGCTGAAAAAAATATTTTTGTACAAGATTATTCAGCACACTTGCATATGTTGTTTCACTTTCTTGTAGTTTGTGATGATTTGGAGGAAATATCTTATTCCAATGTTACACATTGCTAATTTCACTGTATTTTCATGATTTATAGATAGGTTTTATCAAATATTCCAGATGTTGATCCAGAACCTGTCAGCACCGCCAAGTCTGGTGACCTTGAGGCCAGTGGTAAGAGAGAGTCCGGAGAAACAGAACAGAGTGAGTCGCTGCTGTTGCTACGGCAACAGTCAATAGACCCTGCATGTATGAAGGTTTCCTCTGTGGAGACTATATCTTTGTCATCTCAGGATGAGGCAGTCAGTCCAGGTCACTTAGGTCAAGGTCATCTAATCAAAGGTCAAGTTGAAGGTCATATAGGTGAAGTTCAAGGTCAAAATTCCAATACCAAAGACTTACCTTTGACGGAGGATTGTGTGGTTTTGGTCACACAGGAAGATCAAGCACCTGCAGGTGTACCAAACCCCTCGATGTTCAATCAAATGAAAGGTGAATCTTCTCAGAACCATGACGCACCAGCAAAGATGGTTGACGCTGAAGAAGATGTGGATAAAAGCTGTTCTGAAGTAGGAGAAAATGTTGTGGCTGAGCTTTCTGAGAAGACCAAGTCCCCAGTGAAAATCATTCCAGAGTCAGATGAAAATATCTGTTCAGAGAAAGAAGAAGTTGGTACCACTGCATCCTGTCCTCTTGAAAAACTGGAGTATCCACATCTTGATGTCACTCTGCACATTAAAAAATCCAACAGAAAAACATTTTCTTTGGATCCTGTCACCCCAACCAAACCAGGAAGTGAACCATCCAAACCAGGAAGTGAGAAAGTTAAAAGGACATCAGCAAGTAAATTTGTGTTGCCATCCCTTGATGACAGTTTATTTGAGAACACCCCCCTGCTCAGTCCACTGGGAGATAACCTGGAAATGCCCTCTGTGGGCGAGTCTCAATACAACATACACGGTTCTAATCCAAGTGAGAAACTGGGTGCAACTTGTGACATGAACCTCAAAGATTGCCAAGACTCTCAGGGTTCAGGTTCTAACATGGGGAAAGATGTACAGTTAGTGACATTGTGTATGGAGCAGAGTACAGTCATTGACGGTACATCCCGTGGGTCACAGGGATCAGGCTTCAGCCAGGAAAAAATTGCGCCAAAAGCCAATGAAGAGAATAATAGACTAAATGCCAGTTTTGAGTCGCCGTGTGTGATCTCAGATGATATTGTTCCTGCAACTGAGGGTGCCTCTCGGGATGAATCGCCTGCTTTTATAGCACCTGCTAAATGTTGCAAACTGTATGAAAAATCTGGCTCCACTGAGGTCTCCCCTGCGATATCTGTGCAGCTTAATCAGGGAGCTGTTCATATGGATGCGTATGAAAATAGTTCTGTTGAAGATGACAGATATAAAAGATCCAAATCCAAAAAGAGAAAATCTGAAACAGAAGGTGAAGATACGAATAATGAGCAGTCTTGTAAGAGGTCAAGGTCAAGTCTAGGTCATGGGTCTAAGGTCACTCAGCAGTCACAGGTTTTGCATCAGAATTCCAGGCATGAAAATAAATCGAGTAATACTTCACCACAAGATATACCAGATAGTTTTAAAGCAAAAAGTGAAATAACGATAAACTCAGAAGAGCCAAATGCAAGCAACAATGCCAGAGTTCCAAATATTGAAGTTGAATTGACAGATGAAAATGGGGACATATCAGATGACCTAGAACAAGGAGAAGAAGAAGAGGGGAGGCTGGAAGACCTAATTTCAAAGGAATATGACAGTATCAGCATGACTAATTTTGTAGATCCATCTTGTGAAATACTGGAACCAGTAAACCAAAAATCGCCTTCCTCCACCACTGGACTGGATGAAGAATTGGACAATGACTCCACTTGTGGATCTCTAGCAGATGATGTAGAGGATGGTGACCTTGATAATGGGGTCAAGGTCGGTGGCCTTGATGAAGGGGTTATTGACCTTGAGGACAATGACCTTGAACCTGTGGAAGATAAAGATGAGGTCATTGATGTCGATTCAAATAGTTCTTCAGATAGTAAACATTCTGGTGGATGTTTAGAGAGGAAACCGAAAGTGGTGAACATCAGAGGGCGACGGATCTTAGAGAGCGACAGCTCCTCAGAAGATGGTGAAGCTGAGGAGGAGGAAACCATTGAAGCATCAGCAAAACAACTAGAAACCCAGTGCAATGAAAGCAGGTATAAGCAAGACATTGGAGACCTTGCCTCACAGGAAGATGAAGTGCTTTCAAAATCAGACAAACTAAAAGTAGGATCACGAAATCTTGCCAGTCAAGGGGAAACTAAGAGCATGAAAACCACGTCCCCAAGTTCTAGGCTCAGCTCAAGAAATCACAGAAAGAAATTGTCAGACCTTGCTGTTTGTAGCGATGATGAAGATGAAGCTGACCACCAAAGAACTAGTAGTATAGAATTCAGCCATGTTCCAGAAGGTTCCCACACCTGGCCACAATCACAAAGTCTAAGCATTTTACAGCCTTTGGGGCATATTCCAACAAATAAGGAACTCAGATTACAAAATGAAAACACCATGGATGATACAACTGATGATGACGAACTTCCTGATATCCATCCCCCATCCAAGAAATCCCCCCGTGCTTCCACTTCCAAGTCTTACAGTAATACACCAACAAGGAAGCAAAGTGGAAAAATACCGATGATGGAAAATGGCAATGATTTTCAGAGTCCTGGTTCCAGAGTGTCTTGTAATGCCCCATCTGTTGGGAGAAATGATTTTGTCAGTCCTGTGACGAGATTGGGTATTCCCACTATTGGCAAAAGACTGAAGTCACCTCTGCTGTTGATGACCAGTGGTACCAGGAACCAGAGTCCTCGCCCTGGGGTGTCTTGCAATACACCATCTGGTGAGAAAAGTGAGTTTCTCAGCCCATTGGCCAAAGAAAAAGTTTCTCAGTTAGAAAAACCTGAACCTTCACCGTACCCAAGCACTGATTCCTTGAATAAAGGCAGAGGTCACAAACTTTCAAACCAACAGAACCTGTCTGATGATGAAGAACACATTGAAGAACATGATCCGAAGTATCCAAGGGATACTTCTGAGAGTGAAACACCTGTAGAAAGGAATTACTCAGAAGATTTATTTACTGCAGAGAAGGCAGTTGAGGAAACTGAAGAGGACAATCGGTATCCTGATAGTTCAGTATCTACCGAGAAAGACATGCAAGGTGAAGGTCAATCGGCTAATCGTTACCCCACGAGTTCCTTCTCTAGTGAAAGTGAGGCCCTGCTTACGACCCAGGTAAGAAGTTTTCTCCTGGTGTTTTCTTATGATTGCAGCGCTTAATTCAGAAATATTTTGAATTTTTTGTGCAGTTTTTGTTGAGTGTAAAATATTCATTTGGTACATGGTCTAAAGGACTGAAATTATATGGAGAAAATTAGGCATTATATCACTTACACTGATAATATTATGAAAAATTTAAATCCCTATCAAATGAAGTAGCAGAAGTGGTTAATGATGACTGAATATTGAGATTGTGATCACAAAAGGTATATTATCAGTATTTACAGTATAATATATTGAATCTTTTATTTACACTTTCAGCAACAAAGACAGACAGAGGCAGAGTTGGAGAGACTGCAGAGAGAAATGGAACGCCTGAAGGCAGCTTTGAACCAAGGTGTTAGAACTGATGCTGTGCAGTCTCAGACAGGCATGTTTGACTCCTTTACATTTATGTGTACCTTTTCTTGCATATCCATATATGCTCTTTACCAAAGTCCACTTGATGTGTTGACGATCCTGTATGTAACCAGAAGTAGAACTTGTTTTTTGGATGAAATCGGTATGATATATGAGTGAAAATAATAATTTTGTTTTAACACATCTTTTCAGACAAGAAAAAGGACGCGGCAGAGGATAATATAAGATCTTCAGATGAAGAACCAGACAACATGTCAGTAAATGACAGTGGGGATGATCTGTTTGTCAGTCCACGTCCTCCCTCTCCACCTCCTGTGAAGGTTGCCAAGGAAACTTCTTCAACATCCCATGTGGAGCGCACTCCGGAGATTCAGAAGTTGACTGAGTTCATTGATCATTACAAGTCCAAAGATGGCACCACTGTGTCTAAGACAACACAGCAAGGTATTCAGTTTTAGTGAGAGACCCATTTTTTCCTCACATACTGTTTTTATTATCTGAAAGTTTTTTTTCTTTTTAAGAGGAGGAATTAACTTTTATTTAATCTGCTTTTTTATTCATTGTTTAATTTTTTAGAATTATTTTAAGAAATATTGCTTCAGTAATATGACATATATATATATATATATATATGTAAGTTCCTAAAATTGGTCAAACAATTTTTTATTCAGAATGTAAAAAAAAAAAAAATCTTACTAGTAGGTTATCTGATTTATATTTTTCATGCTTAGATTTGAAGATTAATTGCCAATGTCTATCTTTTTCTTCAGCAAACACAAACAATTCTTCAGAAACAAGAAAAAGTAAATCACCCTGTGTTATAAAGGACACCCCAGATAGGACTACGCCAGGGTCAGTCAGGAACAGTCCAGGGTCTGGTAAAAATACCCAGGGGTCAGGAGACTGCAAAATGTCCAGAGAATCCTCTCCTTTTAGGAAAGAGAGCACCTGTCTTAGACAGAACGATCCACAGACTTTGAAAACAAACAGAGTGCAATGTAGTGGAAACCAAGAAAGGACCAGGAACCATGGTGGACAAGAAAAACCAGAGACCAGTGGTCAGTTGTGTTCAGGATGGACGAAGGAAGTGGTCAGCGGCAGGACGGGAAAGGTGATGTCCATTGTGGCAACGGGACTGGGGAAACATGAAATAGTAAGTTTCCTCAGACAAGTATATGAGGGTTTTTTATAGTTTTGGTTGAGATTTTTATGGTTTGAAAAGAGTATTTATTTAAAATAACTATATAAAATCATAGAAATTTAGAGTAAATATAATTTTTTTAAAAGAAAAAAATCAGTTGATAGATGATTTGAGATTCACCATTGCTAAGTGATCACATTGCAGTAGTATCAAGCTTTTATTGGGATTTATTTGGAGGAAATGTCAAGTCCACAGATAAAAATGATGTGTATAAACTTACTGTACAATTTTTTTCAGTCTACAATAAAGAATTTTGGTGACAGATTTGGTGGGAAATTTTGGGCAAAGTTCAACTCCGGTACTACACATGTTATAGTAAAACCTGGTAAGACAGGATTTGTAGGTCTTTTATTATAGGGTTTTTATTATTGATCCATTACATTGATTATTGTTGACTTTTATGCCATAGATTTCTTGTGAATCATCTCTTTTAGTAACTTTTAAAAAATCTTACTCATTTCTCTTTGACATCACACAAAGTATTCAAATGAATTAATGCCTGTTGAACATATTGTAGATGTAAAGCATCCTTTGGCCTGTGAAAGGACACTGAAATATTTCATGGGGATAGCTGGCAGACGGTGGGTGGTTAGCTACAAGTGGATAGAGGACTGTCTGAACCAAGACAAGCTCATCCCAGAGGTGAGGTTCTCTTTCAATAAAAATTACCTTTTACTTGTTTGGAGTAAGTTTTCAACTTTATATTATACATCATATAAAATTACATAATATAAATTACGAGCCTCTCCCAGGATGCAAATGTTCTGATGAATATTATGCCAAGAAGTAGCCAACTGCTTGTTATTTTGCACATATGTTTATATATTTTTTAATTTACTCTAACTTCTGATTTATTCTTGGGATAAAACTTAACAGCTTGAAAAGCAAAATTTACTATTTTGTAACAGGCAGAGAGTGAAATTAATAGGTTTCATTAAATCTAGGATGAACTATCAAATAATAATTTAACATTTTTGTATTTTTAAAGATCAATCTTTACCATTTGGCATATGTTATACAGTCGTATTTATTAAGTATAGTCATGAAGATGGATATTATTTATAGGGTAAAATAAAAAAGAAAATAGGATACAATGGTAATTCAGTCAATACCTTCCAAATCTTTCTAGACTCGGTACGAGATCAGAGGAGACATGGTCAATGGCGTCAACCACCGCGGACCTCAGCGCGCCAGGCAGACGTCAGACGACCAGCTGTTACTTAGGGGCTATGAAATCTGCTGCGCGGGGGGTTATACTGGACTCGCCATTGGTAGGTGATTTATGACCTTGTGCCTACTTTATTCATTAGTATTAGTCTTAGCTTAGTTGATATTTTTTATAGATTTAGTGTACATAATCATCACGTCGCTCTTCCTAAACACTTTATTAAGAATGTACCTACATGCACATATACATGTTCTTAAACATCAGTTTGAAATTGTTACAGTTTTTTTCTATATAGTATTTTTTACAACTCAATAAGAATGTTCTATAAAGAAATTTATGTTGTAAAAAAAACGATATCTGCAAAATTCACAATTATCCCCATTTAAAACATTGAGTCATTTCTTTCACCAACTTTTCTGTCACCAGACGACCTGAAGAACCTGGTTGAGTTGTGTGGTGGCGCCACTGTACAGGATCCCTCCATGTTCAGCTTTCAGCCTGGCAGTAAGAGGGTGGTCCTCATCCAGCCCTCGGAACACGGCGTGGACAGGAACAAGTGTGATAGTAAGGGACCATTTCCAGACCCTAGCGTACTAACTGTGGATCGATCTATCTCCGAGGGGATTCTTGCTAAATTGCAATTAATTTATGTGGCTTAGATGTCTGCCATGCCTACTGAAGCTGCTAGGGGGTAATTAATTATAGTTAAACAGCTCAGCAGACGGGCCAGACATCTAAGCTGCTTAAGCAGAAAGCAATTTAGCAAGAAACCCCTCGGGGGTGGATCGATCCTGTTAGATTGATCTATGGGAACCCAGTCTTAGTTGCCAATATCATTTACACTGTAAATTTGTTTTAAACCTTTCTTTTTCTAATGAATTTTATTTATTTAATATAACCATCTTTAGCAGGCAAAATTTATGAAATAGAAACTTACTTAGTACATTTTTCTTTTTGCTTTATTTTTTTAATTTCTTTGGACAGGTATATTGTTATGTATAGAACTGATCTAGTAACTGAATCTAGCTGGCATTTTATTAAACTAAGACAGCTTATTGAGCCAGAATTTGAACAAGAATGAAAATCTGTTACAAAATCTCACATATCTCACATGTTTATTGGCAATTTATCTTCTAGAAATCTACAAGAAGTACAGCGCGATGACCCTGAACAGAGAGTGGCTACTGGACAGCGTGGCTTTATACAGGGTGCAGCACTGGGGGGAGTATGTGTTATGTAGCAGAAAACTGGTGAAAGATGATGACACAGAAGTCATAGACATTGACTGAGATCTTTCATGTCAGGAGACTGGGTCAAAACACACACACGCATGCACACACCCAGGTGCTCTCTCTCTCTCTCTCTCTCTCTCTCTCTCTCACACACACAAACACACACACACTTTCTCTCATCAACACAAACACATATAATACACACATGCTGGGTAGATGTCAATAAAACAGTCAGTGAAAGGTGATAAATACTGAGGCTGAATATTGTTTGTGTTAAGCCTGGCTATGATCAAGAATTGTATATCATTTATAGACAAAGAATCCTTCAGTTTTGTGTTGATGTATATTTGAGCTAGTCACTATTGCAAGAATGTGATACATACCACATTTACTGTATGTAGTCTGAGAACTTCTCAGTTCTTGTATGTTGAAATGAGAGGTAAAACTGACATTTCAGCTGTCATTCCTAATTTGTGAAAGAGAAAGAGCAATTTGAATTGAGGCATTTCTGTATTATAAAAGAAAATATGAAAGAATATAATGATGGTTAAATAGTTAGAAAAGCATGATTATTAAAGGTAGAATCTGAAGATAAGTGCTATGTGACAGGAAGCAGAAGGTTGATGTAACTGTTGTATATTGATATAGATTGTATCCTTAATGTGAAACTGCATCTGCATGATATCTCAAGCTAAAACACATGTTTATAATTGCTTGCTTATGTTATCACAAGAAGATATATATATGAACATTTGATTGTACTGTCATAAAAACTAATTGATTTATTTGTAATTTTGTTAAAATTATTCAGTGAAGCTTGAAGCTACTGAACCTGTTGTACAACTTATTGCAATATTATGAACTTAATATGTGACATATAAAGATTACGTATTGTTGAAGTATTTGATCGTCTTTCAAGTCATTATTGCCTTTAAATAATGTACTGTATGTTCTGACATATGATTTGGAATTTGATGTTGGGAAGACATTAATGTTCAAATAAACATTAGAATGAACAATATGATGTTTGAAATATCTGAAAAATAGGAGTGAAGTTTAAGTAAAATTTGTGATAAAAATGACAAAAGGTCTTTCAGCCTTTTAAATGGGACATCTAGTTCTTGGGCTTTTATTTATATATTATCATTAATTGCTATAATAATAATTTATTAAGATTGCAACCCAGTGGGTTGAAGTTGTACATACAATATTAAGAAAGTTGTAATGATAGTAAAATGACTATTTGCTTGAATAAAACTGAGTTAAAAGACTGCTAACTGAACTTTAAAATTACAGTACTTAGGATAAAAGAGAACATAATACTATTGGAAATTTAAAAGTGCACATGGAATAAAAGAGCATCGGAATCTGTCAGTCTTAAATTTTGGCACTTTGCATCTATTGTTTGATCTTAAAAGACGATTGCTCAATTAAAATGTGATTCAGTTTGTCAGTTTGCTATTTTTATTTATTTATGTTATAGCAATAATTATTTATTATTATTATTATTTTGGGATGTAAGGGGGTACGACAGTACGGAAAAAGAAAGTGAGATGGCTTCTTACAGCCCGGGAGCCACTGGTCTGCCGCTAGGTGGCTATTAAACAAACCGGAAGTTCGAGAATTTGAATTGGGCAATATTTTTTGAGATTTATAGGGTGTCATAAACGGTGTATTATCTCGGCTATTAACGTACTTGGGGTTACAATATGTACATTGTCATATTGAGAAATAAATTTCGAATAATGTGAGATGACCCAAAAGTTGATCTACAGCATATTTAATGTTGAAAAATGAGTTTGAAATCGAAATTTTATTAAAGCTATTACGGAAGTTCGTTTTTGATTTTGATTTTTGTACCTATAGAGGCCTCCGCACAACTTGAAATTACTACAAGTTGTGGAAAATTTATTCAGCTTTCTGTCAATGTAAGCATGTAAAGAACTTTGCCTTAAGCTGTGAATGGCACAAATCAATTCACGGCCATGTCAGCCTGAAAACTCTCACTTACGATATCCGCATATAAGCCTCGCTTTGACTTAGTGCTTTCTCATGAGCTTCAGTCTCGTTTTAGTTTTTCCTTCACACAGTATTACTTATATAGAGCAACTGGGTATTGGGGACAATGAAATAATTTATTTCTTGGCACTTACCACGGTGCTAATACAAATGAANCAAATTTGCTGCAAACTTTTCATTTTGCTAAGAGTGATTTTTAAAAGTGTCCTGAAGTATTTAAAATACTACAGTATACATTAGTGGAAAACAAAGGGGAGGAAATGAAAAAGGAAAGTAGGGGAAAGAGGAAAATGGAACATTTGTGAATTAATTATATCATCTAATTAAGTTAATTCAGTAATTATGTGAAACTTGAGCACATCAGTTGTTGCCACTGCTGCACAGCTACAATGAAGTGCTTTATATTAGGTTCAATAACAGCATCACTGCACCTTGCCTTTAAGTTATATAGACATAAGAACTACAAGTACTACATAAATATATTACCAACACTGTAACTGCATGTAACAATAATAATACTAACTAGAACTGCTAGTGATCCAGTACAAGGATCAAGACCTGAGAAGCAAAGTGCATTACATTACATAGACACTGCTTCATTATGGCTAACAAAAAAACTGTCACAACGCCCAAATTTATCTTTGTGGAATTAAAAAATTGCACAAACGTAAAACATTTTTATATGTCCAAATGCACCAGTTGTCGACATTATAGAGAAGAACTGTCACCAGGCCATACCAGTTGCCACTTTTACATCAAAAGTAAAAAATGCTGTTTTGACAATACTGGGCAGGATTCTTGCATCCTTCACATAAATGAACAACCATGGTAGAGAACAGATGAACTACTACACAATGTCAGTTTCATCAGTTATATGTCCTGCCACGGGGATATCAACGGTTGCCAACATGATGGCAATTGATAAAGCAGCATTCAACAGACTTAATTAACTGGATTTCAAACAAGTACAATCACACCATTTGTGTCGTACCTTTCAATTTTTATAAACATCATACAAACTTTTCTAGATGCACTGCCTAAAATTCATCATCTGAACTGGTTTCAGTCCAGCAGTTTTCCTTTTCAGTGGCCTTTTTGGCCAAGAGAGAGAGAGAGAGAGAAAGAGAGATGTAGAGAGACAGATTATGATGTGAATTTTCACCAAAATGTTTCTGTTCATTTAGGTACAGACAGTTGTGTCTATCACCACCAGTATGGCAAAAATGATTCTGTTATCTTTTCTATAATTTTTTACTTCTCTTTTCTATAATTTTTTACTTCTTTTGTTTCTTTTTTGTAAGTTTATATCCTGAACAAAACAATATCAAAGCAAACTGACAGACTTCAGGTATCCTGCTCTTATATTGATGACAGCCTGTATTTGTACAGTCCAGGCCAAAGTTTCTGTACTACAACCTCTCAAAGTAAGAACAGTGAAGTGTATATCTTTCCCCGACTTCGTTTCTGGTGGCAGTTTTCTGTGACCTTGACATAAACATCCTTCAGTATTTTTTCCCATTCCAAAACAAGAATTACTTGATAATTTCTCACTTAAGCTGCTTCTTGTTTAGTCTCTGGCTGTGGCTTTCTATACCATAGGGTCTGAGATGATAGATATAAAACTCCAAGCCCCACATCAAACTGGGAGGAATATAGTGGAATGTTACTGCGTGGTCACTTACATTACCTATTCCCTGAAAAGATAACACAAAAAATCTTTAATTTTTAAACAAACCAGAAAAAATTAATTGATTTGATTAAGATTTTCCAAACACATTTACTCTTCATTAATCACATTACAGATGAATATTTAGCATTTGCTTCTAAGACATTCAGCACACAATTAAGATGTAGGGACTTTTCCAGAGGAAAAAAACAACTCATCTCTGCCATCACTAAAATAGTGCTGTCCTACTGATGAAATTTTCCCTACACATACTCTAACTCTTTTAAAAGCTAATTCTGTTCACACTTTTCCTTTGTAGGCAGGCTGGCAATAACTGTACATAAACTGTGTATACTGTCACCTCCAAAACCTGATAATGAAAACCCCACCACAAAGACAGTGCCTCAAGATCAATTCTATAACATCTCAATATTGTTATAATAGCTGCTGGCTGCAGGTGCTTTGCTTGTCTACAAGATTTAATGAAGAAATGTCTTCTCTTTCCACCAGGTATTTCAAAGAACGGCAACAAAGCAGGAGGCAGACTATAGCAAGAACTGCAGTCAACTGTTTACATTTAAGCAATTTGTTACTCCTCCCATTTTAGATTCCAATCTTAGGCTTAGAGCATTTGATGCTGGTGTACTGTCATCTTATTGTTAAATATATGACAAACAAAATACGGTACCTATCTGTTTGGGCTCTGAGCTTTTGTTTTATGGTAGAAACTTAATAATGCCCATGTCATGAACACCATATATTTACCAGTACACATCCTGAGATATATATATCTAAAATTATCTACTAAACTCCACCACTCCATCTCAAACTTGAATTGCTCAGTACCAAAATGTTTCTGAGAATGATCTCCCCAGTTTTACTCAACTGTCCACCTTAATTAATATGATATTCATTAATAATAACGGGATATTTCATAACAGCTTCAGTGTGCTAGGGTAACGAAAGTTCTCATTTCCCTCCTGTTCAATTACGAGGTAGTAGTAAATAATTTATTATAAGAACAAACAGCTTCACAAAGACGTTTTCATGCACAATATAAATATTAATGTTGAGGTGGTGTGCGTCATGATCAATGTGATGTTACTTCATGGAATAATTTTTTAAAATTAATTTTCTATCTTTCATATTTCTATCTATAATGTTAATGCCTGCAGCTGATGAACCTGGTCAATCTTTGTTGCTGTGTTCATGTCAGCAAATTAAAAATAATTATCTGACAAAATGGTAAAGCCAATGAGGTCAAAACAATTTCTTCACGAGATAAATCTACAATTTACTCAAATATTTCAGTTGAGAATAGCCATGGGGAGAGGTGGGACGGGTGGGGTGGGGTGGAGAAACAAACGTGTATTTCTCGTGAACTATTCGCAGGTGACTGCTGGTGCCAGCCCTGTGTATACATTAATCAATTTTCCTGCTT